ACAAATTATTGTTAATATTTGAAAAGAATGGGGATACCAGAGCACTTAACTGTGCTCATGGGGAAAACCTATACTCACACCAAGAAGCTGTTGTGCAAACAGAGCAAGGAAACAATGCCTGGTTTAAAAATAAGAAAGGTGTGCATCAGGGCTGTATCCTTTCTCCATACCATTTCAATCTGTATGCAGAGGAAATCATTGAAGAAGCTAGAATATATGAAGAAGAATGTGGCTAAGGTTTAGAAGACTCAACAATCTGTGCTATGTAAATGTTACAATCTTGCTTGCCAAAAGTAAAGAGGACATAAAACAATCACTGCAGATGATCAAAGACTTTAGCCTTCAATGTATACTTTATCTAAACGTAAATAAGTACTTCAGGTGGTCTAGTGGCAAGAAGCTGTGTTGCAATCCCAAAGGCACAAGGTTTGAGGCCACCAACTGTTCTGAGGGAAAAGGATGGGCAACTCCTACAATTAAATGTCTCTAAAGCCCACTAGAAGGTCAGCTATGGGTCAGATCTGACTCTGCGGCACACAACAACAACAAACATCAATGAAGCAAATATTTTCACCACTGGGAAAATAGGTAACAAAATTATAGAAGAGGCAAGGATTAAGGTTATCAACAATTTCATCTTGTTTGGAACTACAATCAAGACCCAAAGTAACAACCATGAAGAAATCAAAGGACTTATTCCATTAGGAAAATCTACTTTCAAGTTCAAGTGGCCCTCCAAGGTGCTAAAAAGCAAAGGTATTTAGTTTAAAGGCTAAGGGATGTCTGATCCAAGCCTTGACTTTTTCAATTACTTCTTATGCATCTGAAAATTGGACTATGAATAAAGATGACAGAAGAACTGACACCTTTGAGTTGCGATGTTTGAGAAGAGAATGGGGTATCCCAGGGACTGCCAAAAGAAAAATATGTCTTGGAGAAAGTGCTGCCAGGGTGCTCCTTGGTGTCAAGGACTATGAAGCTCATCTCATTTACTTGGGGCTTGCTGTTAGGAGGGGCCATACCTTGGAAAAAGACATCATGCTTGAAGAGGTGGAGGGTCGTTTTGAGAGAGGAAGATTCTCAACAAGGTGGACTGACACAGTAACTGCAACATGGACTCAAGTATGTCAGAGATCATCAGGACAGCAAAAGATAGGGTAGGGTTAAGATCCATCGTTCTGGTCACTATGAAGTTTAGTTAATTTGATGGCAAACAACAAAACCTGGGCCATAATAGATAGAAGCTTATGCAGTAAAGAACAATATTTTTAAACAATATTCAAACTTATGGTAGAAAATAATCCCATATTCAATGATATTAATAAATTAAGGGGAAAATTGAAATTTGTTAGAGTACTGATTTTGTTTTCAAATTCGTATTGACAAGATTTCAGTAGTAAAGCCCATCATATAATTTCTATAAATAACACAAAGTGTAGCATAAATAAAAGGCTAGAAAACAGAATGAAATGAAATAGGACTGTTTTTACTACAAACGTCAAATTCCCAAATCAAACTCATTGCTATCAAGCCAATCCTGACCCTATGGAACAGTCTAGAATTATCCCGTAAGTGTTTCAAGGTTGCAATTGTTAAGGAAATAGGCTATGACATCTGTCTTCTGTGGAGTTCTGTTGAGCTGGTGAGTTCAAACAAATGTCTTTTGTTAGTATCTCAGTGCTTAAACATTGTGCCACCAGGACTTTTACTATTATCTTCACCTGATCCTAAATTCTATAAATAGTGCAAATTATTGGACATAGCAATCAGGGACTCAAAAGACAAATTGTGTTGGGAAAATCTCCTGTCAGGGACCTCTCCAGGGTGCTGAAAAGCAACAATGTCTAGAGACGAAGGTGTGCCTGATCCAGGCCAGGGTCTTTGCAATTACTTGGTATGCATCATAGAACTGGACAATGAATAAGAATGACAGCAGAAGAATTGATGCCTTTGAATTGTGATGCTGCAGAAGAGTTTTGAACATACCATGAACTGCCAAGAAAATAAACTCTCATTTCTCATTTGGAGGCTAGGATTTTGAAGCTCTGTCTCATATACTCAGGGCACGTGTCCAGGAGAGATCAGTTCTTAGAGAAGGGCATCATGCTTGGGAAGGTGGAGAGACAGTACAGGAGACAAAGAGCCCAGATGAGATGGATTGATACAGTAACTGCGGCAATGGGGGTTGGTATGTCAAAATTAGTGAGACTGGCTCAGGACAGGGTAGGGTTCAGAGCTGCTGTACATATGATGGCTATGGGTTGCAGGTGACACAATGGCACATAACAACAATAGCAACAAAAAGATAATTTAAGGGAGGGTTATTTTTATTTTTTGAATGGGATTAGTTCATATATTAAAACTGGAATTTTGAAGATAAATTTTTACCTTAGAAATAAAATTTCTTCTCTGCCAAGCACATTATTTTTATTACTTCTTTTTCAGTATGTATTTTTTCCCCAGTATGAAATATTTCAATTTCACATGAGACATAGTCTGGATAAAGTTAGCTTGCATTTTAAAAATCTAGGGGATTTGTTGTTGTTGGGTGCCCTCATGTCAGCTATGCCTCACATTGTTGTTGTTAGGTGCCCTGGAGTTTAGTATGACTCATAACAACCCTACAAACAATCATAACCTTATCTATCCTGTGCCATCTTCATCATCTCTGACACCCTTGAGCCCATTGTTATAATTATTTTGTCAGTTCATCTCATTAAGGGTCTCCCTCTCTTTCGATGACCCTCTTTTGTCACCCAAGCATGATGTGCCTCTCCAGGGAATAGCCTCACCTCACAATCTACCCAAAGTATGTGAGAGGAAGCTTTGCCATCCTTGCCTCCAAGGAGCATTCTAGCTGTATTTTTCCCAAGATAAATCTGTTTGTTGTTTTGGTAATCCGTGAGACATTCAGTACTCTTAACCAACACCACAGCTCAAAAGCATCAATTCTTCTTCTGTCGTCCTTATTTATTATCCAGCTCTCAGCAGCATAGCAAGTGATTGAAAGACTGTGACCTGAATAAGGTACAGCTTAGTCTTAAACCTGACATTCTTGTTCCTGAGTAATTTGGAGAAGTCCCTGACAACAGGCTTGCCCAATGTTATACATCTTCTGATCTCCTAACTGCTGATAGTAAGGGTGTGGATGTAAGTAAAATGAAATTATTGAGAGTTTCAATATTCTCTCCATCTATCTTGATGTTGCTTATCAAGTGGTGAGGACTGTTTTCATCTTGATTTTGAGATGCAACTCATATTGTCCCTGTAAATAACAGATACGAACCTTCGCTATCCCATAGTCCTCAAGATTTCCATCACCCTCAAGCCCATTTTTGTAAATACTGCATCAATTCATCTTCTTGAGGGTCTTCCTCTCTTTATTCAACTGTCTACCTATCCCAGCATGATGTGTCTCTCCAAGGAATGGATTCTTCTGAAAATTGGCTCAAACCAAATGAGATCTGGAAGGCTGGGTATAAATTGGTTCCAACGCAACAGCAATGGACTTAATGTAATTAAGATTAAAGATGTAATATAATCATAAAATAAAATGTTAGTAATATAATGTAGTATTAGTTTTCATGGGGGGAAATGTGGAGATAAATGCTTTCTTTTTTATTTGGCAGCTACACATTCTTTTTCCTCATAGAGTTTTCATTTATTCCAAACTATATAATAACTATCTGAGAGTAAACAATTAGTTACTTTGTTGATTCTTGTACAGCCAAAAAATATTACTTATTGTTTCTACTATGTGTTACACTATTATCTGTAACAGGTATAACATTACCATCAGAACCTCTGTCCTTTCCTCAGAAATTGTGATCTAATCAAGAAAAATACAGGAGGCATTAATGAAACAATGACACACACACACACACGCACACACACACACACACGCACACACACACACACACTCACACACACAAGCAAACTTCTAGCCCTTAAGCGTTTCTACAGACAGGAAAGGCTTTCATCGGCTTAACCTTTGAAGACTTTATTCAAGAAATTAAAACAAAATAGTAAAGCTAAATAACAAAATCAAAAAGCATAACATAATGTGCTTCCTTCCATATGATACTAGCTCACCAATCAACAAAACATGACCAAACATTTTAAGTTGGGAAGAGAATTTAGAAGGAGTAAGAGACTAGTGGGAGTTTAGCACTATGGAAATTACTTAGGCCATTAATCTATTTGAAAATTACCACTTGCGTCACCATGAATATGAAAGATAAACTTTCTTGGTCTGAAAGTAATAACTGTCTTTTAAATGTCTATTGAAAATGATTTCTTTATTCAGGAAAACTTTAAGGGCACAATGCTTAGCGGTTCTTTTCAAGTCATTAGTGAACTAAGACAGTCCATTCTAATTTAGAATTCTCTCTCTTACACACATACTCATTTTTCTTTTCTTCTTCCCTCTCCCAACACCCACTATCCTTATCCCTTCCCTGCAAGGGCCGACTTCTGGAAGTAAGCTAGCCCTTTTCAGAAAGTTGTCCAGGATCCTAGGAAGAAGTGAAACAGATTTTGAGCAACTGTCGCCAAGCTCCCCCTCCCCCTCCCCCCCAGAAGAGGGTGGGTTGTCTCATCCCCGGGTTTTCATTTGATGCATGGGGCGAGCATAGTAAAGAAAATGTAACGTTTTCAAAGCAAGAAGTTGATAAGGGCGTTGAGTACTGACAGAGGCTCAGGTCCTCTTCCTAACAATTTGGTGAGGGACCTCTCAGTGAGTTGTAATTCCTCTCACCGGGAATATTTTTTGTTTGTTTCGTTTTCTGCCCCTTCCATCACTTGAAGAGGAGGGCCCTGTTTTCTGCCCTGACTTGATCCTCTCTCTCCTCCCCACTACTCTCCACCCCCAGCCCCAGCGATCCCTGTCATCCCGCCCTTTCTTTCTCCACCTCCAGACTTGAAAATGGGTACAGGAAACAAACAGGTCCCCGCACAACCCAGGAGGAGAGGAGTTTCATTGGTTAGCCCCAAATCCCAACGGGAGGGAGGGAGGGGACAGGGAGCGAGGAGGCTGAGCCTCGCTGAGGACGGGCACCCATCTGGGGGTTGGGGTGCATGGCCGGGAGGAGGATCTGGGGGCCCTCGCCTTCTTCCCCGAGTTGAGGGTCGGGAGGAACTGGTTCACCGCGCTGCTGGCGCGCGCGCCGAGCGCCGGCCTCGCCAGGTGCGGCCACGAAGGGGTGCTGCGCGGTATCCACGGCCGCACAGCCGGGAAGCTGAGCGCGCAGCGCAGGGGCGAGGACGGGCAGGTTCCGCCTCCCCCGGGCCTCGTGCACACACACGCCCACCGCGGTTCGGGCGCGGGGCTCGGGCGAGTGTGAGCGCGAGTGTGCGCACGCCGCCCGCAGCCGCGTTGCCCTCTGCTCGCACCCTGCTCGGGGCATCTTCAGAGCCTGGGAACGGGAACAGGCTTAAAGTATGGCATGTGGCAAAGATGGTTTCTGCCAAGAAGGTGCCCGCGATCGCGATGTCCGCCTTGGTCAATTTCGCCCTCCTGCGCTTCCTGTGCCTGGCGGCTTGGTGAGTTCTCTGGGGTGGTGGGCCGAAGGAGGGGGTGGGGGGAAGAGAAGGGTCGAATTCCCGGATCCCCTCGTTTACTGAGCAAGCCAGACACTTCGGGCGCCTCCGTGAGGTTAGGGGCTGTCTTTCCGGTGACCACGTAGACGAGGAGAGCACCAGGGGCTCAGGGGCAGGAAGCCGGTGGTTATTGGAGCGCTGGAGCAAGGGGTGCGCTTTCCCTGACCATTTTCCCCTGGCCCCCCTTTTCCAGTCTCACAGCCCTCACTCTCTAGCGGGTACTCTTTCCTTAGAAGAAACCTGTACCCACCTGTTCTCCAGTCGATTCTTAAAATAGTCCCTTCCGTCCTCGTTTTTGTTGTCGTGGGTTCCCCCCCCCAATTTTTAAAACATATTTGTGTATATTATTTTTTTGCTTACAGTGTAAACGAATCCCCAGGGCAGGACGAAAAGGACGAGAAATTATGCCCGGAAAATTTTACCCGCATCCTGGACAGTTTACTCGATGGTTATGACAACAGGCTGCGTCCTGGATTTGGGGGTATGAATGATTTCAAACGCGCAAGTGTGTCCTGTCTGTCCTTCTCTCCGTCTGCCTGTCTGTCTGTCTGTGGGAATATCATTAGGTATGCCTCACGTGCAAAAAAAAAAAAAATAAAAATTAATGTCACAAGAGACTCATACATGCCCTATAATATATAGACAAAAAAGGGAGGAAAAAAGAGAGAGAGAGAAATTCTTTAAATACCCCCTCCAAAAGCAAACAAACCCCCCAAATCCCAAACCCCTCTCTTGCTTGCTCGCTCTCCTCTCTTCGTGAGACCTATGACAAGAAGGGCCGCCCCCACCCGTACTTTCTCATCTCCCTGCCCCCTCAGAGGCTTAGCCTCTCCCCCACACTAATTACCTCCTGGGACCTGCCTGCTGGGTGGGGGAGGTTGGAGGGAAAGAGTCAAAAATAGGAACTCGGGGCTCAGCTGCCGGGCTGCACCGCATGCTGAGAGCAGAGTTTCCTTGGCCATGGCTACTTCTCACGGGGCAGGTTGCACTTGAGATAGCTGATCCGAAGTCCCCTGTCCTCCCACGTGTCTGTGCCTTTGCCAAAACCTCGGCCAGCGTTCCACCTAGGACAGAAATCTGGGGCACGACGCTATCTGCTCTGCTAGAGAGAACCCAGTGCTCTCTTCTACAGAGGGATGGATTTCTACTTTTTTTGGCGAGGTGGTGTTTGCTTCCCTCCTAAGACTTCGGAGTCAGAGCTATTAAGATTTATTCCTCCTTCAACAAATATTTATAGCGAGCCGAAGGGAGGCACATCCATCAGCAGCCCTGTTGCTCTTTTTCATACTCCTGTTTCTTTTTGCTTATGTAATGAGCATTTAGGCGGCAAGCACAGGGCTAAGGCGCCAGGGTTACACAAGTCTTGGGCTCTAATTCTTGTCCTTGGACACCCTCTCAGTCCAGTTGGGGAAGGGCTGAATCATACTCATTGAGTCTCCTAGATCTTCTGACCACAAAGTCCTTATTTGTGTCACTGCAACTGACCCAGTTGGTGTGATTATTATGTACCATGGATTCGGAACTGACCCATAACTGAAACTCCAGTGGATTTTGGAGGTAGTTCATTGTATGGGGAAAGATTGCCCATCTTTCACCTTTGGAGCAGCCAGTGGATTCTAACTGCTTACCTTCAGGATGGCAACGCAGCTCCTTTCCACTGGGCCACCAGTTAGTCCCCAGCAAATGAGCCCTGGTGGCCACTAGCATCACTAGAGCTGATGTTACTCAAAGTGGTAGCTTATGGGGTCATCCCTACCTCCAACTCTATGAACTTTCTCTTCCCCTGGACATAGGGGATATTTAGTAATGTTTTTTATAAATTTTAATAAGAGAGTAACATGATACAGTTGTAAAGTGCTTAAGTGTAGTATTTCTTTAAATGTGTGGATAATAACAACTGAACTATTCCCTAAAATTGTTCTACGTTGACTTATTACCTCATCAGTAACAGAGCAGAAGTCTTTCAATTTTTTTTTCTTTTCCTTGATTACTACTTCATTCTCAAGAAAGTTATTAATTTAGGTTCGCCGATACTACCAACTACACTACAGCAGCTAAGACAGGAGAAAATGATACACAATGAGAACTGTAAAAATTCTGGCAGTAATGAAAAATAAAAGTGCCTGCTCTTAGAGGCACAGATGAAATGAAAATCTTTCTATATTGAGTTGCAGTCGTAAATGTAGTTAAATAATGATGACAGCTTGGAGGAGACCATATTAGGAGGTTCAGAAAATTAATTGCAAAAAGTTTTAGCCTTGTAGGTATGTTGATACATGTAAGCCGAGTTAATGGAAAATAGTTTTGTTGTTATAACTAACTATAGGAATAATTTTATTATATGAGATTGGGTGCCTTCAGGGTGATATAGCCACAGACAAGAATATGTTTTGTTGAAAAGAATAAATCTCTGTTGAAATACTGCACCAAAAAATCAGAGACCATCAATTTGTCACCTCCTCTGACTGGGTAGGTACATCCCTTAATTTCCCCACTGATCCCACTGCTGGTGGCACAGTGCAAAATGCTTATTTGTTAATGTACCTAGTCTTTAAAGTGCACCCAGCTCTTCTGTGGGGGAAACACCTGGAGGTCTAATCCCTAAAGATTGTTGTGGTTAGGTGCCATATAGTTCACCTCAGTTCATAGTGACCCCTCCATACACCACAATAAAACTCTCCCCGAACCTGCACCACCGTCAGAATCTCTTCTGTGCTTACACCCATTGCTGTCATCACCATGTCAGTACATCTCATGAGGGTCTTCCTCTCATTCACTGGTCCGTCTAGAAAGTTCTACTTCATTTTATGGGATAAGTGAATTGGAATTGGATCAAGGGTGCCTAATAGGAAATAACAAATGCATAGAACAAGACATAGGCCCTATGTTAAAGAAGCTTTTGTTCTAATAGTGGTGGTAGTGATTATACCGTCCACTCACTTCTGCTTCTTCGTCAATGCTGAGTCTTGATGACCTTCCATGGAGTTTGTAAGTCTTTGTGGGAGGCTACATATCTTTTCTCCCTGAGCAGCTGGTGGATTTGAACTGCTGACTTTATGGTTAGCAGCCAAGTAGGTTATATATGATATCAAGGCTCCATGGTAACAACTCGTTGGCAGCTGGTGGATTTGAACTGCTGACTTTATGGTTAGCAGCCAAGTAGGTTATATATTATGATATCAAGGCTCCATGGTAACAACTCGTTGCCATTGAGTTAGAACCAACTCATAGCTGACTTTCAGTCAACTTTTCAGAGACTGTAAATCACATGGGAGGAGACTACCCATCATTATCCCTTGGACAAAGGTTAATTAGAACTACCATAGTTGCATTAACAATTCACTAGGTCCTACACCACCGGAGCTCCCCCTAATGACGACCATTAACATGCAGTGTCAGGGAGCTCCACATCCCATGAATGGCCAAGAGAACAAACAGATACATCTTAAAGAGGGTGCTCTTTGGAGGCAAGAATGAGGAGGCTTCGCCTCACATTTTTTGGGTGTGTTGCTAGGAGAGCCTATTTCTTGGAGAAAGACATGATGCTGGAAAGGGTGGAGGATCACTGAAGGAGAGGAGGACTCTCAACCAAGTAGATTGAAATGGTGACTGCTGCAATGCACTCCAATGTGTCAGAAAGTGCAAGGATGGCAAAGGCTAGACCAAGGTTCAGATCTTTGATTCATAGAGTCACTAGGAGTCAAACTTGACATAATGGCACCTAACAACAACTAGTGGCTTTGTAGTAAGGAAAATTCCAGTGGTTCTAGTTGCTTTCAGTTGTTAAGTGCTGTCAACCCAAGGGTACAAGGTTCTCATCTACCAGCTGCTCTGTAGGAGAAAGACAGTCTCCTGTGCAATAGACTGCCTCTAAAATGCACTAGAGGGTCAGCTATGAGTTATTTCCAACTAGATAGTGGTTAACAACAGTATAGCATTTTTTTACATTTTGTTTACATTTTCATACATATCGGGCATTTTAGAGGCATGCTACATCCTGACAATGAGCATGAGATAAAACTTTGACCACTTCCGTTTTGCAAACAAATTAGTAGAGGATCAGAAACTTAAATAAGCAGCCTAAGGAGGTAGAGTCTGTGAGCAGCAAAGGTTGTCCGTGATCTCAGGCCAAACTGTATATTTAAACGACACACTGTAAACTGGTATGATTTCAGACACTGTGTGTTGAGTATCACATAACATTAATAGCTCAGAGGAAATTTGAACTTCCTGTTTATGATGCATAGGAGATGGGAGAATGGAGAAAGTGAGAGTGGGGAGCAGAACATCACTATCAGGTGACACGGGCTCAATGTGATGTAGGAGGAGTCTGGCTCTTAATGCTGGATGAAGGGCACTCCTTTTACTAGAGTAGTAAATTCTCCAATTTTTTATGTACTGTTGCATCAGAACTGACTTGTAGTTGATCCTTAAACAGGTTTTCAGATGCTGTAAATTTTAAGGGAAGAGATTGCCCATCTTTCTCCCAGAGCAGCTGGTGGATTTGAACTTGGCAGTGCCTTCAAGTTGGCAGTGCAATTCCTGACCCACTAGGCTGCCAGATTCTTTAGGTTGAAGAGTATTCTTCCTGTTAGAATAGTGGGCTCTCCAGTTACATTGGAGATGATGAACCATGGATGGAGTTGAACTGGTTGGTTCTTTGGAGATCATCAAGACTTCCCCTCCCCCCCTTTAATGGATTCCTTTTTAATTGAGGACCTTGAGTACGAGAAAGAGAAAGTCATTCAGGGACACATAGCAGGGATGGGCTAGAATCAGGCCTTCTCAATTCTAGACCACTGTTTTT